GCCAAGTAATACTTAATCACGAAATCTTGCCTGTACGAGAAGAACTAAAGGTAAATATAAGTAAGAGACGTCGTACGATAGATTATTATTCTCTATCTCTCTTCTCTTGTAATATCGGATGATGCAAACTCGTTCGAAAGCCCCTACGCCCATAGTAGGTTGCTATACAGCATATTAAATCAATTATCGTAGAAAAGAATAGTATGTCGCACCCTAACTTGCTAGATTTAGGTACTTGAGAAACTGGCTTCAGTACAAGCAAACAGTAAAAGAAATTAGATAAGTGTTAGTAAGAACCTACCTCTAAAAAAGGTTTTAGTTGTAAGGGGCTGCGCTCTGGGGAGCAGTTGCGAGGTATATAAGAGGTTATCTTTAATAGAGAGCTAAGCTCCTAAGCTACTTAATTATGTAAATATAAGCTAATTACCTAAGTAATAATTAAGCTAGTGAAGTTTAGGTATATAAGGCAGCGTCTATATCTTACAGCTATCGTCTAAACGCTATTCAGGCGGTGAGCAGAAAATCTAGATACTTAATGTAGCACCTAGATTCTACGAGTCGACCGAGATTCCATCAAGGAACCATCCAAAGAGCGTTCAGCCCGTTATATTAGTAATACTACTAAAACCTCCGAATAGGTACATGCCTATCCGAAACACCTCTATTGGGTACGATTACTAAATATAACAGAGTTGCAATAAATTCAGCAGAACAGCGAACTGGAGTTGCGATGAGATAGTAGCATAATAAACGATAGTTGCAGCAAGGACACAAATCACGCAGGGCAATACAATGCCTATGAATTCGCTATATCTTCCATCCGTCTCTCCCATCTCATCACCATCATGCATTCATCTAAAATCGACCTCGACTCTCATGAACACAATGGTGACCTTCCATTCGTGGCCGTTGTCGCCAGTATTTCCCCTGATCAGCTCAATTTACTCACGACATCAACGACGCATCAATATCGCCACTGCATCTCCAAAGGCTATTAGGCTATAATATGGTGGTTTTAGGCTACAATGTGATGGTTTTAGGCTATAATGTGGTGGTTTTGGCGAGGGATTGGCAAAAGTGGCCCGCTCGCTTGCGGGGTACTGGATGTAGTCAGTACATGCAACAGTTCACCCAATGCAACACTCCACCAATTGGGCGGCGGGACAGATCGGACAAAGCTTCGGTAGTAATACAGACTTTTGAAAGGCACCTCTGTATTGAGGGGGTGATTGTCCCGTTATACCGTGCGTCCCGGCGCAAAGAGATGAATAACATAGCAGAGATTCTGGAGGCGAAGATATTGCAAGGATATATAAACGCAGGTTGCTGTCCATAGGTTGGAATGAGCTCCCGTCAGTCAACTACTATCTGGGCTTTTCCAGCAGAAGATATTGCAGTTATGAGGCTCCATACTTCCACCCTGGCAACAGCTGCTGTCTTTGTCAGTAGCGTTATTGCCTTTCCTTCTTCAGCTTTCGAGACCAGCACCCCTAAGCCATGGGGCTTTTTCGTGAATAACACCATCTACCAAACAACTGGCCGCGAGAGTATCACGTATCCTCGCTACACTGAGTTGCAAGATGGAACTATCATCGCAACTGCATCGCTATCTGGAAACTCGCCTAACTACTTCCCTATCTTTGAATCCAAGGATGGTGGTGCTACGTGGAAGCACGTTTCTGACTTGCGCGATACTGTCAATGGCTTTGGTATGAGTGCGCAGCCTGCCTTGACAGAATTGACTGAGCCCATGGGAGGCTACCCAGCTGGAACAATCTTGGGTAGCGGGAATAGCTGGGGGCCTAATAGTACAAGGATCGATCTATATGCTAGCAAAGATCGGGCAAGGACTTGGCAATTTGTAAGCCATATTGCCGAAGGCGGAAGACCGAATACCACAAACGGAGCCACACCGATCTGGGAGCCATATCTGCTGTGAGTTCTATTCCCCTCATACATGTCTTTCCGATCTTCGATCTAATAACGCTCTAGTCAGTACCAAGGCCAATTAATCGCCTATTACTCGGACCAACGCGACCCGAAGCATGGCCAAAAGCTCGCTCACCAAACATCCACCGATCTCAAGACTTGGGGACCTGTCGTCAACGATGTAGCCTATGAACAGTACATAGCCCGTCCCGGTATGACGGTTGTGGACTACATCCCGCCTCTAAAGAAATGGATCCTCGTACACGAACTGCCAATTGGCAACTCTTCCTCCTATGGCTCCAACTACCCCGTATACTATGTTATGGCTGACTCTCCTCTGGACTTCCGTAAGAGCGTCGGTAGACCCATCGTCATCAACAATAGCACCGTACCTAATGCTAGTCCATATGTGGTCTGGAGCCCTATTGGTGGACCCCAAGGTACAATAATAGTATCTGACGCAGACCGGAGGCAGGTATACACTAACTCGCATGGCGGTGCTTTGGACAAGTGGGAGGAGCATGCTACGCCTGCGGGAGCAGTGTACTCACGTGCCATCCAGATCTTCAAGAAGAGACCGGATCATCTGATGATCTATGGTGGTGAGACATACGACGATTTTGGCAAGGGGCTTCACACGCCGTTTTCGGCGACAGTAATTGATCTCAGGAAAGTGTTGAAGGCGCCTGCGCAGGAAGGTTGATGATGATAAGTAGGACGAGTATCAAAAGTACAAGTAATAGACATTGGAGTGATGATGAGTGCAGGTAGTCATAGTATGGATATAGCATGATCAGCGAAACACAATGTGCCCAACATGAACGATGCTTTTCGCGTACTTCTCATTGCACGACAACGATACATTCAACACAGGTAATGCCTGATCCGACTGGGCAGGTATAACACAATCTCAGGATCTGTCAATGTCGGAAATGCTTAAGGCACAGTCGGCCAGGGCTGAAAAAGAACTTAGATTTGCAACCAACCAGAATCGCAGCACTGGCACTGATGTCGAGAGGTCGACAACAATGCCAGTAACGCAGCTCTGATTGGCTATATTACTTAGCCACAAGTTGCATCGAAAACAATGTATAGGTAAACCAAGTACCAGCCTATCATAGTAGTTGGGATGGCAGACGATGACAGGGATAGGCACTGCGTATGGCATGATGTGCAAAAAATCACATCACATAGAAAGCGCTGCGCAATATTAGGTGTATTCGCTCATTCTACAGCAATGCGAACTGATCGACGTGCATAGGAGTTCCAAGAATACATAGACACGCAGCGCTACCAAGAGGACTGTCAACCGCGTGATGTCGGATCCTCTCCTACAGCAAATTATAAGCCGAAAAGCACAAAGGTACGATTATAATGATGCAGCTGCGGCGTAAACAAATGTCGCAGAGCAGGATTAGAGAGGCTTAACTATGCGCCCGCGCAGCATAACAGCCGATCATCTTTTTTGCCGAGAAGTAAGCGAAATGAGAGATCCCCAAAGCACTTCCACACGAGTCAAGCGAATGCGCGAGTTGTGGCGTAAGAGATTGGGCATCTATCGACGGCCTAGTGACTTGGTATCACCCTTTTGGTGGAATATCCGAGTAACTGTGTCGCGGAGAAGTGCATGACTTGTTGGGCAGGCGCAGTAATACTCGTGTAGAATCTAACCAACGAGCTTAGTCTCTCGTTCTGGTGATAATTGCTGCTGCTGGTGAGCTATCGCAGCTGAAGCCGCCCAGTGAGACGGTGCCGCAGCGTCAATCGCGGAACGCCGTACGCGGCAGCGGCGGATTTTTGTGATAAACACACATCAGCACGATAATCACGGACAAAAGATTGCATCGAGATCCCGCGATTGGCCATAACGAACGTATTGTGGGGGTAGGCAGCTTCAAAGTCAAATTAGTGGAGTGGCCGACTCTACTCCACCAAGCTTATTTCCAGGACAGCTACCTTTGAACCGATCGTAATCTTTGTCGAGAAATTCGAAGAATTGCCACTCGGATCGAAGACCCAATAAATGACTGCATTATGAATGAACGAGCGATTTTAATCGTTAAGACCCTTTCTACGACTCACTGCTTATCGATAGTCTATAATACGCTAAACAACATGGTGTAGGGAGCGGATACTTAAGAGAATGTGCAATCCCCAATTTCTGCAGCGTGGTGTGGGAATCCCACTGGGTGACAGTCAAGCTGACTTCATGGCTGTTCCCTTCCTGGCGCTGGCGTTGGCGCTGGCGCTGGACGGGCCGGACGATCAGCGGGTAGTACGGGTGCTGGCTGGTGCGCTGGAAAAACGCTTTGGGATTGCGGTCCGCGTCCAGCCCCTCAACACCAGCTACCTGAGGATTACGATGGCGATTAAGCGGCATATCCAAGCCTTCGATCATGCGCTCCAGCAGCTTCTAGGTTCTAGCTAGTATGGGAAAGCGAGTAGATTGGTTGAATAAGCGCAAATCGTTGCCGTGACCTTTAAGCTAGCCCCTGCGGAGAACTGTAGTAAGTCGTTATATCATTGGTAGATCCTAAAAGAGTGGCTGGCATATGCGTGGGGTGTATTGGCTTATAGAGGTGCCACTAAGCTATCTGAAGAGCGCCCAGTAACGCCTCCCTTGAATATGACAGCTTTCTGACGACACAATAACATCATCGAAAGCTACTACCAACTCGACATCTAGGATAGCAGTCAGAAGTCTCGGATAGGCAGCTAATCAGTTGGCGTAAAAACGATCTGCGTATGACAATACCTGGCTCAGCTCCACCTATGCCACCACGTGCCCAAAGGGGTACAGTATACTGCATGGGTAGTACCTGGAGCTGAACAATATATGCGTATGACACTGGAAATTTCTTGCCATGCCCCATAATAAGTGGAAATAGCTACCAGTATCTAGTTAGTGACACCTTTACGTGGCCCTTCTTTACCCACACTGTTGCAAGGGTATCTTTTGTTCGGCGATTGCTATCGGGATCGACTTGCTAAGTAGCTACCAGAGAAATGGCACGACGATCTGAAGACAGCGATTGCCAGCTGATAGTAATCAATTTCTTTTTTGTCGTAGCAAGCAACTTGCACTACCATATAAGTAGTGTTACCTAGAAGCAGAGTTTCTCAATTTTGATCGCGTTATTTGTATCCTCATTCTGGTCTTTTACACTCATAAGCACCCACGACAGCGAAATGGATCTAGTATACGCAGCCCTGATGAGTAGGTGCACTGAAGGCACCTTCTTGTACACACCTCCGAAAGACAAAATGTTCCATCCAGGTTCTTGCGGCTTCTTCAACGAAGGTGGACAGTGGGAATCAATTACCGATCTCACTGATCTCAATGAATTTAACCTCAATGGGTACTTCCCTCCTACCAAACAGCTCAATCTGATGGAGCCGACCGTGTGCACATGGAAGAAGAAGGTTGTAGAGAAAAACGAGGGTCATGGCTTTGGCGTCACATCAGAGGTTTCCGGACTTGCTGCTCAAGCACCTGTGGATGTAGGAGCCAATGCCGCGGTAGGAAGCACTGCAAAAGCCGGTGCAGGCGTGGTCGTATCACCAAATGTGGTGTACAAAACGTTTGATACCGGAGCCCCCAAAATAATTGGAGACTGGATGAAAGACAACATGGAGAACTTGTCTACTCAGCATAAACAACAGATTGCTGAGTTTGGCGTCTGGGTTATCACGGCCACATGGGTTGCAGAGAAGTGTGATATTGCTATGTGGAACAAGACCGGCAACAAAATCGATGCCGGATTCAACGTTGGAGCGACAAACATTGGGAAAATTGGGCTCAAGGGTTCACGCGAGATCCAGTTCGATAATGATGAACACATAGTATATGATGTGAGCACATTTTGTTCCATTACACAGCAACATTCGTACTAAAAACTAGCAGGAGCCGGGTGGATACGCCATCTCCTTCCGCGGCGTACAATTTAGACCAAGCTCGAAGTTTTGGAGCAATGTAAGTGGCTTTTTGATGGTGTTCTTGCTGCAACGCGCATAGACATCTATCTTAAAAGTTCGTCGAGGCTAATTGGAGAATTAGAAATTGAAGCAAAAAGGCCCGAAGGATGGCTACCTTCGAACTGCGCCGATGCAATATCTTGATCAGGATGGAAACCGCATCGATGAGGATGGAAACCTTATTAACGAGGATGGAAATCGCATTGACAAGGATGGAAACCTCATCGAAGAGCCCGAAATATTTATGGAGTTAGTTGGGTTTGATGAGGCGAGTCAAAAAACCGAGTAGAGAGTTTGCTAGGATGTGTTTACATGCAGACACATATGCTGCCATTGTTTTCAATACTACCTTCATTCTATGGCGGCTCTCTCTAACATACTGTAGAGGTGTCGGACGGGCCAACACCGGATTTTCCCTGCCAACACTATCACAAATTTGAAGTTGTCGAGCTCTATACAAAAGCTGTTGTTACGAGAAATTCTCCTATAGTAATCTCATAGTATAATGTCCGTATGTAGCACTATAACTACATCTTGCTATAATCAATCCTTGCGCCGCAACGTTCTATTGAGCGAAGCGTATAGGCAAACCGCAGAACTCCATTTACGTATATAGGTATACTAAGTACTAGTCTATTAGAGCAGCTATAGTTGTAGATAAGCATCAGAGTAGGTACTGTATATAATAGAATTTATAAGAAACTATTATTTTATATATAGAGCGCTACGTAAGATTAGGTCTATACCTTTATTATGTAGCGATGTAAACTAACAAATTAGTACGTAGAGCTAAAGGAATATATAAATACGTGGCGCTACTAATAGTATTACTAACTATAAGTATTAGTAGTCTTTATACCTCGCTTTTCTTTTACTATAGATAATATTGTAACGGCTGAGCACCCAATATAAACCCATACCCAAGAAGGATCCGAACTAGGTTACTACCATACTAGCGGGAACTTCGAGGATAAAAACCCCACTACCCACAAGAACTTATTCTATAATTTTTTTAATATCCTTTTGTACAAGGCCTATNAAGACCCTACACCGACACCTACCCAGGTCTTGGCAACCCTACTCTACCCTACACCTACCCATTTACCACCGTACCTACTCTATTTAAGCCTAGTAAGAGAATAGATACTATAAGTAGATGCTTAACCTCCGCTACGTTATATAAACCTAAGTAATATAATAACTTTTAGCTTGTAATAGTATCCTAAAAGGCCTAGCCTATAATAATAAGTAATAACACAACTATAGACAGCCTCTATGAGGCTCTATTGCACCTCTTATACTAACGAATAAATTTGCGTGCACTAAGGAAGGCTTTAGTATCTAGTAACGGCTACATGTTTGTAAACAATATTAACGCGTATAAGATATATAAGCTAGGCATATGGCTTATTAAATAGATTGAACAAAAGCCTAGTGATGCTGCTTATAGATGGCTTTAAGAAAGGTGTAGGAAAATATGTATCCAAAATAGAAGTGATCAAACAAGATTTTTAGACTGAGTTGGGCAAGATAACATCCCATTTACAAGGCTCCAGGTACGAAAACTCCAATGCCGCGGCAGCATAACTATCTGCGTTGTGAATCGGGCTCCACAAGGGCTTGTACTTTGAGTTGTCCGCATCGTACTCATCCCAAAGCTGCTTGAGCTTCCGGGCCGCTTTCCAGGGATCCATGTCCTTGTACTTCGCACGGTCATCGTCGCCACCCTTCTCGTAGACATCGATCGTGCCAGAGGTGCTGTAGCCATCGGGGTCGGGGAAGGCTTCGAGTCCAGCCCTCTGGCCAACGGTGTGCAGATGTGTCATTTCGTGGAAAATTGTCAGACCCGCGATTTCGAAGAAGGGGAATTCTTCGTTGGGCTGGCACCAGCCGTTGCGACTGTCGTCGAATTTCTTGGTTTGGAAGTCGTTCTTGGTGCGTGGCTCGGAGTTGCGGAAAAAGCGATCGCAGAGAACCATCTTGAATGCGACGTTAACATCTGTATGGCATTTGATACCTCTAAGAAGGGCTGACTTACAACTGATTGACCAGGCCTCGCGTTCGTGCCAGCCAGAGTGGATCCACTGCATGTTTGAGGGTCCTCACTGTTACCACAGCGAATGTCGATGAAGTAGCCCTGACCGCCGTCGTTGTCATCCACTGGAAGGCGGCTGTTATAGATAACCTGCATCATTCGCTTGACTTGGTCCTTGTCCGCATCGGCGAAATAATGCTTGTACCTATTCACAAAGTCAGACCCCAGACTCTTAACTAGTAGTTCCTGATATTTTACTTACGCAGAGCTCTCTGTGAAAGCGTTTCCGCTGTTGTCATGGCGGATCTGTGTCTGGTATGCCATTTGCGATGCGTCTGTGAAGGCTCTTTGGGCCTTTGCTTTCATGTTTTCTCCGCCATCAGGGCCAGGCTTATCGCAACTGCTGTGGTATTGCGCTGTGCGCCCATAGAGGGTATGTTTAGGAGCTTCGAGGGGTGCAGCAGTAGCAATCGTTGCTCCAGCGAGCACGACAAGTGATACTTGAGTGAAGTACATGATGTAGTAACCTGTTTGAAAGGCTATGGAGTTGAAAAGAATAGTACGTGCTAGTGTTGATAAAGAAGAGATATTGGAAGTTCCTGCTATTGAAAGACCTCTATGGTGTTCGTGGTAGCCTTTTTATACAAGTTCACAGTACCTGGATGATCTTCTTCCAGTAGAAGTGTAGCTAGGCGCTTAGAGAAGCCCTCTCGCTGGATTGGTCTATTCCAAGACTTGTCCAACATCGTGGCCTAATGTAGCTGTGTCTCCATCGCCAGTGAGCGATTTCGAAGGAGGGATAAGGGCTGTGGTCGAGGCGAATCTTTGCGCCAAATGTAAGCAAGTGACGTAAATGAAAGACAAGATGGGGCCAAGAAAGGGCAGTATGGGTATTTTGAGAGGTAATGCGAATGTTTGAAACACCATGCTTGGGGTCCAGTAAGCTGCTGACAAGATCATAAGGCGCACTCGGCGCAGCGGAACCACTATCCAGATCTATACGGAGGATGAAACAACTCTTTGCAAGGTACAACTGGCGCTGACGGTAGTCGAATCGAGGTTAATCCCTTACAGTAAGTTTTTCCAGGCCTCCAGTAAAGATCAAGGTATGGTAAGTCGCATCGACGATGGGATTCGATCTCATGTTTCATAAACGATCCTACGAAGACGAAGGCATACCACATCTGTGACATTCTGGTCATAAGAGGCATATAGGATGAAGGTGTAGGCCATTTCGCAAGGAATAGGATGACGGATCGTCGGAGCCTCTCAGCCTTTGAGAACACTGTACCTAGTTAAATCAGCTTATAGCAGTTGCACATGTGTACCTGCCCCCTCACAGTTTGTAGACCAGATTGAGGGGCAAATGGGATGTTCGAAGTCCTCTTCAGGCTCCAGGCTATGCTTCGTGGATGTTTGAACCTAAGCAGATGAATTCTTGAGCCCTTCCGATGGTTAAGTCGTTCTTCGGTGCTTTTTGCGCATCTGAAGATGGGCATGCGATCAGGATCGAGAAACTGAAATCGTAGAATCCCGGGAGAGTACAAAAATAGAACAGAGTCGGGGATGTAAAGATGTGGGGGCTGGGTTGAGCCTCCGCGATCCAACAGTTAGGTTGGTGTAATACTTGTGACGTCATGCTAGGCACCAGCCTCGGACCCAATTCATCGCCGACAGGTTGAGTCAAGTGATCGAGGGGCCTGTTTTTGACACATTTCTTTATACAGTTAGGGTATGACATTGGAAAAGCACTTTAGACTGCACATGGATAAAGGCTAGAGAATACGGCCCCCGACCCTCAGCTTCTCGACCTTGCCCTCTGCAGTCTTGAATTTTTGCAACCCACGGCAGTGCATTCTCAGTCTCCTACTACAACACCATATCAAATAGTTTCATATGTCGTCTCAAAACCACGGAGTTGAGCTCTGCCTTAAGTTCAACTTCTGTCCACCAGCCACTCTCTCAATCTCTAACCCCTCGGCATCACCTTTGAAGCTGATCGCCACCATCCACCAAACCTCCTCGGTCTTCCCAGATAGACCCGTTACTATCTTGACCAAGTACTCATGTCTCGACACTACGCCTCGTGAGGATGCGTTCCGCAAGGGCGATATGCACTCACCGGAACTCGCATTTTCTTCCACCCGACAAGTATATGGCTCTGCAAAAGTGCTTAACCTCCGACCCACAAAGCGCATTACGTTCCACCGGATATCAGGCGACCCAGATCTTGCCAAACGCCCTGAGGATCCCGATACCCCTGGATTCACTTTCATCACAATTCCTCCGGTAGGAAAAGGTTCTGTACAAGTTGCGTGGGAGCTCTCTGCTGAACGACTTATGTCGAGTCTCGGCGACGACTCAACCCCGCTCCAAGAAAAGCTTGAACATTTTCTACGAGTCGGCGACACCTACCATGTCTGGCCCGGCGATCTTTCGATTCGATGGTGGTCATTTGGCTCCTTGGAAGACCCGGAAGGCTTGAAAGGCAAGAAAATCTCGCGCTTCAGCTTTTCTGACGATCTGGGGTTAGATAGGGAAAAGGGAGCAGATGAAAGCGAAGAGGTTGTTAGTAAGATGCAGGATCTTATTGATTTGCATAACGTGAACAAGTTGTCTTCGAGAAGCGCCGTGGAAGGAGAAGAGAAGCCGGATATTAAGAAGATGAGGGAGGAAGGGTGGGTTTTCGGAGAACCGCCAGGGCTGTTAAAGATGATCGCGCAAGACGAAGACAAAGTAGCGACTTTCAAGATCGTAGAGTAAGGCGGTTGGCTCGTTAGGCAAGTCTGTCAACAGTGCATTAAGACAATATACCTAAGCCATGCATACTTCGTTCTCAATCACGCGCTGCTTGAGATTGAATTTGCAGAAGAGTGACAGTTCATTCCAGGCACCAGCAGACGATACCATCATTTCGGCGTGCAGTGCTTTTCCAATCTAGATTCTTTCATTTTGAGGCCATGGCTGACTCGTGTGAGAAAATCCCAAAACTCTCACGTGACAGTCAGCAGCTTGCAATGTGCTAAAGCGGCGTGGCTCGATGCTCGTGGCTCGATGCTTACGGCTGCCCGGCATATGGCTCAATATATGTAGTTAGTCAACCTAATTGCTTCTAGAGTTGATGTAAGCCCAGAAGTACCATGCATAGTCACGTGGCTACTCACTAACTAATAACACTGTATCTTAGCTTGCTCTTATCATGATACACACAAGAATACACAATACTTTCTATACCCTCAACTGCTTACAACTATCTTTATTTATCTGTGGTGTATAGCTATTATTTTTTCTTGTTAAGGTGACGCATCCTTTATGTCGTTATAGTGGCCTATTGCTTCTGCAGCCTTGCATAGCCTGCGACACATACTAGCACCTCAAACTATCGCCTGATGGTTGTCTTGGCGTGACGTCAATCACGTGATCAAAGCCCTGCAGTGATCTTTACCTTCTGACGTGGACGACGGTTGGCCTTAAACCCTCAGTCCCGCGTCAAGGAGAGAATCCTTTCTGTTACTCGTAAAACAGGTCTGTTCAAGATACAATAGGATTTATGTGAGGAACTTGCAGAGCTGTAAGGGGTGACGCACGATGATTAAGCCATACTAAAGAGTTCATATCCTTTTCCTCATTCTCTATATCCATGACCTAGCATGTGCGGTATCGTAGCTGAGGCGAGTGTTTGCCTACTGATCTGGCTTGGCGGGGGCGAGAAGAATCCCCCACATTGTGGCGCAGCTTCGTGCCAACAGTATCGAGATGCCCACCATGTTAATTCACAGCTACATCTTCTCATCTTTTAACGGTCGAAAAATAGTTGGGCTTCTATCAGACCTGCCACAAAGGGCTCTCATTGACTATAGCCATGAGTTGGGTTAATCGATCAGTGGACATGATCCTGCAATCGGCACGGAACAAATTGAGACATCTGTGTCGTCCAACATCAACTCACATTCCATTTTTTAGCACTGCACTAGCTTTCTTCTACGCCTTTAAAGCTATGCAAAACCATCATAGCTCCTTTCCAGGCACTAAAGAATATCATCAAGCTTGTCCTCAGGACACAGGTCGAACCGCGACTGGTGCAGTAGTCAAGCTCTTTGTCGCGACAGTAACAACGGTCGGAATACGAGGCCACTTCAGTTCTCTTTCGGACGTACAATCATGGAAACTCCAGCTCTTTCGTGCGCTCGAAATACTCGTCAATCCACTGGCCGCGCTTTTCCACTTTGCGCTATTATTCTGGTACGGATTCGTGGATCTTTTACACATAAACCCGGGACCCTGGGAAAGAGATATCTCGTTAAAATATCGACTTGCGAGGTTTTCCGGCGCATATGCTAGTACTAAGTCTAGCAGCAATGAATGCAGGACTGCTTTAGGCTTAGTAAACCCACAGCATCTCGAAATGGTTCCTTCGAAGCGCGATCTGAAATGGGGCGGCCGTGTCTTGATTCTTTTGACCTTACTAAGTCAATACGCTCAGGCGGGAGTGTTACTATCTCGTCGCATCCTCTCCAACACAGCTGCTGGAGTCGATTACGCCATGGCTTTCCTAGTAATCTCCGGGCTAGCAACCTTACTGAAGTCGCTTACCATCTCATTGCTGAACGTTACATGGGTGCGGCACGAAGAGATCCAGCCATGTACGGAGAAACTTTGTAGCTTGCAGGAATGCACCGCTTTTAAGCACGCACAGGGCTTGCCTTCTCAAAGATCAGAGATTTATTTCTTCAAGAAGGAGGTATCGGTTATCCTGACAATCATCCTGTGCGACCTCGCGGGAGGATGGCTTCAGATGTCAATCATGTGGTGGTCTGATTATAGCATTTGGCGACTCTTACTCAATCTATGGACGTTGCAATATGCACTATGGGGCTCTGTCTACTACATCATCCTACTTCACAGCTTGGGAGGGCAGCCTCTTGACAAGTCTGCGCCTCAACCTCCAGACAATTCGAGTCCACCGACTCGGCAGCCGTCTCAAACTCCGACAAATTCGGGACTAGACGAAGCTTCACCAAATCACACGAAGACCCTTTCCTGGTCCGACGTATCAATTCTTACGGTGATATCTGTCGCAGGGGTAGGCTACACGCTATACTTTCTCGTAATGGTAGCGTTCCAATTAATATTACTAGTAGCGCCCTGCATTCTTCTCTATTCTAGTATAGTGGTCGAGCTATCTGCTTGGAAAACCTTAGATCCCGCTAGACCTTGTCCGCAACTTTGGAAGGATAGACTAGAAGATGAACTTTGGTGGTTTTGAAAAGAATAGAGGGTTACTAACCCGCAATCTGCGATTTGCGAGTGCGATTGATGGGTGCTTGTCTAGGACGCATGGACTTGCATACGGATACACTAGCAACGTATATGAGAGTGGAAACACAGCTACCGCGGCCTTGAATAAGGCTACAAATGCCTATGTAAAAGCTACTATCACTAGATTCCTTCTTATAGTACTCTAGAGGGGCTATAATATACTTTTATCTATTTGTATTCTCTTAGTAACTTAGTATTGCGGCCACGCATGTGTAACGGCGCAGGTAAGAAGAATCGGACTCGTTTCGGAGGTAAGATCACTTAGAGGCATATAGTGTCGTGGAGCGTTGTGCACCTCCATCTGCGCGGGTGCTCGATGCATAAAATGATTGTATTGTTCAAGTCTGAAGGTCCTTCAGACTTGAAAGTTGGTTTTTTTATATAGCTGTGTTCCCTTTTTCTCCTCCATGTAGTTCTATATTATACCCTCGTCTGAATTACGCTGGTAAATGGGTACCCTCCTACACCTACCCATTTACCACCGTACAAGTAATGATACTACGCCTAGATACTTTAAGCAAGTAGAACACAATCACTTAGAAGTCACAATAGAGACTGTACTAGCACATTTTGATGGGCTACAGCCCTCTGGATCAGATCTCGGTGCTTAGCTGAATGACGTGCAGGCGTAGTATATACATGTAGTAAGACTATCTACTCAAACGACATTCCTAGGCCTCTAGCCTTCTCATTTCTTGTTGAGAAGAAAATCGTTCTTATTACTTGTAGCACCCGGGTCTGCATTAGAGAAGTACAGCCTAGCCCTATGTAATTTGATTCTTAGAGCGCACAATCATCGGATTGAGATTTTCTTATCTTTGCCTGGTATTAAGTAAAAGTAAGTTTTAAAGTTCGTGCTCTTTTTCTTTCTATAATTGAGTGTGTTCAGCCGAAGTGTCAAACCTAGGCAAGGAATGTGGTGAAGATAGTAAAAGCAAAAACGAAAGAAGAAAACTTGGAGCAAGACATGATTTTGGAAACATGGGTGATCTGCAGGGGCTAAAAACATCGTCTCATGGATTGAACTAAGCTGGTTTTCTTAAGGTCCAAGAATTCTTGAATATTCGCCGCCAATACGTTGGGTTGCGCAATGTATAGTCAATAGTTTCTAGTCAACCTACCTAATGACATCTCGTTCATGGGGGCGCGAAACGCAAGTTCTGTATGTCACAGTCACGCTTGCACAGAATCATTCGTAGACTTGGCTATCGTCATCTGTAACTTGTTCTTATACGTTGTACCTTGGTAGCGGTTCGTTGGGAGAAACAACTCGTCTTAACCTATGCATTTTTAAGCAGGTTTCCATCATTATCTATGTTAAGGAATAAATGTTAATCGTGGGTAGATCTATACTATTTAAAATAGGAAAATAAAATGCCCTAAACTTTGTGAGAAGGATTTAGAACTTCGAATATTTTCGTATACAGTTGTAGATAATAGAAAGACGCTGTAGATTCTGTTCTATAATTATATTTCCTGGGCATAGAAGCGGTTCACAATTCTTCTTTATGACTAGTTCAAATCCAATCGAGTCTAGAAAAAAGCTAAGCATCTTCCTAACTCTAATAGGTGCCACGTTGATTTACTCTTAGGCTTAGCATCGACACTGCCTGCGCCTGGAGGCGCAAAAAGCAAACACCAAAATCACTCACCGTGTTATATTAACATGCACATACTAGTAAACACGAGTTTTGGTACAAATCAGTCACCATAGAGCGATTCCTCTTAAAAATAAATCATTTTATTCATATTATTAGGAAATAAACAAAGGATAGTTCATTACTATAAACAGATGCAGAGTGGGGCTGAAGGCAAGCACACTACTTTATTGCGCCTCAACATGTTTGATTTTCCTGGATTTTGGCGCGCGATTGCATAATACATAGCAAGCCCCGATCGGTATCCATGTGTTATTCACTTAAACCAGCGTTAACTTACTCAACAGAACAAATTTTCCTGAATACTCTTACTAAATAAAAATATCTATAGTGTTAAAAAGGTGCTGTATAAGTTATTGCTTTTATTCGTACCGCGTCTAGCATTTTAGACAATTACGTCTCGGAAAAGAATAGTGGTTCACACCCGAACTTCCCAAACTCTTGTACTTCTAACGTGTCATTTGTATCCTAGTAACATTTTGCTAAACATTCGAACGGCGTAAGTTCTTTGTCCCTTAAGAAGTATCGTTGAGCTTTCCTGACCGCATCCTTATGTGGGTCGCCTGACATTACGCTTTTTGAAAAAGAATAGCCTTCTACGGTTAGATAGAAAGTAGCTAAGAGGCTAGTCACATTTGCCTTTTTGAGTTTAGATGGAACCAAAGGTACATGTAAAAAGCATTTTCCTAGGACGTAATCATCCTTGTGAGCAGAGTTACAATCTATTACAGTGCTCAACAAGAAGGCTTACTTTTTCTCCAAGACTTCGTATTCGATGAAACTATTGAACAAAATAACAGTCTTGATCATAGCTTTAGATGTACACGTTAGCCAAGCATACACAAGTGTGACCGAATATTGCCAATATTCAACGTACCATATAGGAAGCTTAAAGTTACCACTAGACTATAGGTGCATTGTGCATTGGGCAGCTAACAACAGGAATTGCGCATGCGAGACTTGCATTGAACTAGAGAATTGAACTAACGTTCTAACCAATGCATTTAGATAGAAAAAGAAACCAGTCTAAAGAGTCTATAAAGAAACAGGCAAAGAACGTGTTCTCCATATCTATTACTCTATCGCATAGCTTCCCGCAAGACATAGTCTATGAACTCAAACTTCAACCGAATTAAATCATTTAAACCAACCACTATCAACGATGAAGGCCTCTCCAATTTCGCTAGCGTTCGCAATTCTCTCGACGGGATACTGCTTTGATGGATATGTGCCAGATGCTACCATCCCGCATATGGATTCCATGCCGCATCACCAAGATTCTTTGCAGCAGAATCTACGCTCTATCAACGTACTCAGCGACTCATACCAATGCAAAAATGGTAAGTTTCCCGAAACTATGACGAGATGTCGAGTAAAGCTGACGAGTTCAACCAGGAGCTACGCCGTCACTGGAATGTGTCGATCCGTTAGCAAAGCCCACCTGCTCTTGTAGCTGCACCAACGGCGTCATATTCAATCAAACTCTTTCTGTGTCTCCACAGAAAGATAATAACTGCGATTCTTGTGAATTGGAGAAAGAAAAATGTTTCGATCGCGAGCAAGGATGCAGAGCCGAGATCCAAGATGTGGTAAGGGATAAAGAAAACGCCGAAGCCTCCCTCAAAGATGTATTGCTACGCGAGCAAACGTTGCAAACTCAGCTTCAAACGGCAGAAAATACTCTCGCTAAAGTGAGGCGAGGATGGGCACCAGGCAATTGCTACAAGGACATGGATGGATTACTGGAACGGGCCGATTCAATGACGCGCAGCGATATGAATCACTGGTTTTGTGCTCATTTTTGTATGAATTATACGTACATGGGTATAAAGGGAACTCAGTGCACATGTGGAAATACTCTTAACAAGGCAGCTGTGAAAGCCGATCAGTCACAGTGCAACATTCTTTGTCCATCTCAGAAAGAATGGAATTGCGGTGGCAAATCAGCAACACTTATTAGGACTAGATCTTGAAGTTGAGGTTGATGCGATCGATTAAATGCTCGCTAGATAGTTTTTCGGTAGAATTTCGGTCTTCTTACAAAATCTAGGTGCTACATAGAGCACCTAGATTCTATTATCTCAATAATACTTAGGTGACTACTATGTACACATAGCTACGTAGCTTAGAAGCTTAGCTCCCTACTAAATACAACCTTTCACATACATGATGTTTTATTTTTAGTCCTTATTGAATAACTCTATAGAGTGTAGTATAGTATCATTGGCTCCGGCTTTCAGAGAGACATTTGCGTGAAAAAATTCATTGATTCATTACTAAGTACAGCAGATCACGACAGTCTCCGACTCTGTCCATCGACACTGCCATGTGCCTGTAGCACCAACACGAGCGACATGTACAGAGCCTGCGACTCCATAGTCTACACCCGCTCATCACCCTCCAGCGCCACCTCCGCTACGACCAATTTGTCCCGAAAGAATGACAAAACCATCCCCATCTATTCCTCGCTTTCCGTACTCCAGAAACGATTATTAAACTCCCTCTACTCCTCAGTTGGATGCTGGGCATTGATAGCCTCGCGTATACGTCTTATCTCTTCTTAAAGCTATCTATAAGCAGCATCACCAGGCTTTTGTTCAATCTATTTAATAAGCTATATACCCAGCTCGTAAATCTTATACGCGTTAACGTTGTTTA